CGGGGGTGGGAGTGCTCTCGGGCGGCGTGTGCGAGCGCGCGCGGCGCGGGATCTTCTTCGCGAGGGCACGGTGGGTCGGGTGAGTATCTCGCGCGCTCGCACTATTTCACGTTATATGAGGCACTGCCCTTGAGTGCCTTTGCAGAACCGCCAGCGGCGGTGGTCGAGCCGGTTCGCGGTTCGAGTCGGGACCTTTTAACCTGGTTTGTGGAGCTCCCACACCTTACCTAGAGAGCACGGCATTCGGGGCCATGATCTCGGTTCCGCCTTGGACTTTTTTTGTAGTGGAGAGAATTAAGGAATCTTTCTGCTCTGGCAGGCAGCTGCATCATTCCCCTTTACTTCAATCAGCTGGGTACACTCAAGTGCTATTACTGTCTGAATAGCTGTCTAGACGCTCCTATTTTGCTGTCTGGACGCTGTCTGGACGCTGTCTGGACGCTGTCTGGACGCTGTCTGGACGCTGTCTGGACGCTGTCTGGACGTGGAAGATCGTGTGAGGTGTGAATAGACCTGCTGCGCACAGGCCGCCGGAAGGCAGGCGGCTGGCGCGTCAGCTGCAGGTGCGAGCGCCGCCGCCTCGCCGATCGCCCCCGCCTTTGCCGGCGCACCGGCACCCGCCCGAGCCCATCCCGATCATCCGCCTCGGCCGCGATCAAACCTGCTCGCCGCCTGGTCCGGGCGAGACGAGCGCCCGCCAGACTGCGACGAGGCCAAACCGCGCGCACCAGCGACGCGAATAGGTGCTGCCACAGCTGCTGCTGTTGCGTGGACGGCGAGAAGCGCCGTGTTTGCGGCGTCTGTCGCGGAGGAGGGAGGGCGGTTCGGCGGCGATGCGAAAGGACGGCGTGACGGCGCCGCAAGCGCGTTCGGTCGCGCGCGCCCCGAGGCCGCCGTCTTCGGTGCAGCGTTCGTGTCTGACTGAACTGCTGGGCTCGCGCTTTGCCCATTGCGCAGCGGTGGGTCGACGTGGCTACTGCCGGCCCGCGGCTTCTTCATCGGCTGCGGCGCGGGGGGCTCATGGCTGCATTGGCAGCAGCATGGCGCCCGACCATTGCGTGCCACGCTTGCTCTGTCCTTTTCGCAGCATGTTGCGACGTTGGCAGTGCCTACAGTTGCCGCCACAATTGCTGCTGACCTTCGCGGGCACTGCGATATCTTCTGTGAAGAGGGCCTGTCTAGACAGCTGTCTAGACAAAACTACAAGTTTGAAAGTTCAAGGTCTCAAGTTCTGTTAAGTTCTGCTGTCTAGACGCACTGCCCGCCCCGACAAGTAGAGCGGTGTGTATCTAGGTGTGTATGTGGGTGGGTGGGTGCGGGTGGGGAGTGGCCTCGGCAGCGCCAGGGGTGCTGTCAGGGGCCGTCCAGCCACGACTACGAGACTTTGCTGTGAAGAGTGGAGCCATGTGCCACTGTCTGGACGCTGTCTGGACGCCGTCTGGACGCTGTCTGGACGCTGTCTGGACACTGTCTGGACGCTGTCTGGACAGGCTCAGGACTGTCTAGACAGGTGTGGGAGCTCCACAAACCAGGTTTTTTGGCTCCCGGCTCGAAACTCGGGTGGAGGGTTGCTTCGCTCTCGCGGAGCGAGCGCGGGCGCGCGGGTGCGTGTGCGCGTGCGCTGCTGCAAGGCGAGGCGAGGCGAGGCGCGGCGCGGCGCGGCGCGGCGAGGCGGGCGGCGGCGGCGCGCGGTCGCTCCTTTTGCCCGGGTGAGGCGTGGCGAGCGCGTCGCGTGGTGATGACGCCGCACGCGGAGAAGCTCTTGGTGACCCACCGCGGTGGCAGCGAGCCAAAGCAAGCCACCTGCCGCATGACGGGTTGACCTCGGAAAAGAATTTTTTCTGCTTGCGCAGAAGATGTGTCAGCTTTTTACAAGTCTCATTGTGTTTTCAGACAGAAGAAAAGACACGAGCAAAGCCTGGCTCCGCCGAGCGTTGCGTCGATTGCAGTCCGTTGCACATGAGAAAGCACGAGCGGAGCAGGCTCGCGCTAGGCGCAGCACAGCCCGCAGAGGCCGCGGCGAGTGGGGAGGCAGCGCCTGGCTGTTGTAGTAGCGATGTCGAAGGGGTCCTCGCCCGCCATCCTCGGGTCCTGGCCGTACACGCTCTCAAAAGGGTCCGATTCGACGTCGCACTGGGTCCACGGACAGAGCGGAGGAGGGTCCAGATCGATCTGTCTGCCAGATGTCGATATGCATGCTTTTCGAATATATCAGCGCCGACCGCCCCGTGCTCTCGTATCGACTTACATTCCCTGCGTGTACCATGCCAGACTCGCACCGATTGTCGTTCGCTTGCTTTGGCACCAGGGTCGTTTGCTATCGTCTTATCATTTCGGGTTTCATCTTCCCCATCGCAGTAACTCCACAGGGCTATGCTGAACACAAGAACGTTCCTGCATTTAAGACAGGCGGTTTAAACGCAACACAACCCGTGCGGTTTGGCGCAAAGACATCGGCGCTTGGCTGCGCACACGTGCGGCCGTGAATCAACTTGTTGGCGGCCTTGGAAAGCTTGACGAAATCGTCGAC